TTCACAAGTGGGCGTTCATGTCTGACTAATCTATTAAAATTCTTTTCAACTGTTTTCGAATGAGTGGGCGACGGGTAAGATTATGATGTGTTATATCTCGACTTTAGCAAAGCCTTCGACAGAGTCCCCCACGAAAGACTAATACAAAAATTGGAGGCTCGTGGAATTGGAGGAGACATTCTAAAATGGCATGAAACAGCGAGTAAGCATCCTATTGGTGTAACATCACTAGTGGAGTACCCCAAGGCTCAGTACTTGGACGATTACTATTTATTATATACATAAACGACATAGATGTAGGCGTAGATAGCAGCGTAAGTAAATTTGTTGATTACACTAAAATAGGGCGTGTAATTAAATCTGAAAAATGGTTGATGAAGTTTAATGTGGACAAAAGTAAAGTACTTAGTCTAGGGTATGTAAATAGAGAAACCAGATATCAGATGAACAACGTTGTTATAGAGAAATCTGACTGTGAGAAAGATTTTGGAGCAATGATAAGTAGGAATCTTAAACCAAGTCAACAATGTGCATTTGCTCGAAACAAGATTAACAAAGTACTTGGGTTCATACAAAAGAGTATTAGTTACAAGTTTAGCGTAGTTATCCTAAAACTATATCTTGTGCTTGTGAGCCCTCACTTGGATTACGCAGTTCAGTTCTGGTCATTGTACTACAGAATGTATATTGAATCCTTAGGTAGAATTCAGAGGTGAATGACAAGACTAATTCCAAGCATTAGAGTGAAGGACGATATGATCGAGGGGTATAAATAGAAGTCAAGGCGAAACAAATGTGATATAACAAAGGTACTCAAACTATCCAACCAGGAGCGAACTCGTTGCAATGGTTTGCAATTAGACCAATTTAGATTTAGGTGTGAAACAGGTAACCATTGGTTTGGAAATAGAGTACTGAATCAGTGGAGCAAGTTACCAAACATCATCATTAACTCGAATACGCTGGATAGCTTCAAACATAGGTTGGGTGGATATATGAGCGATAGGGGTTGGGTGGAAACGGGACTGCCCAGTATGGGCCAAAAGGTCCCCTGCAGTTTTCTCCATTCTTATGTTTTTATGTTCTTACAAGTAGGTATTCATGTCTGACAAATCTATTATTATCATTATTTTCAACTGTTTTTGAATCAGTAGATGACGGACTCAATTATGATGTGGTTTACTTCGACTTTAGCAAAGCCTTCGATAGGATTTCCACGAAAGACAATATGTAAAGTATGGAATTAGAAAAGATATTCTATATTGGATTAGGGCGTGGTTACAGGACAGGAAACAGAGAGTCAGCATTAATGACACGAAATCCGATTAGGGATAGTCACTAGTGGAGCACCCCAAGGCTCAGTATTTCGGCCATTACTATTTATTATATACATAAACGGCGTAGATATAGGCGTATAGTCTCGAAACCAGGCTAACAAAATAATTAGGTTCAAACAAAGTTAGCCCAAAGCTTATTTCTTGCTCTTGCGAGACCTCACTTGGATAATGCCGTTCAGATTTGGTCACTGTACTACATAATGGATATTGAATCCCTAGAAAGCATTCAGAGGGGGATAACAAGACAAATTTCGGTTATTAAGAACCTTGAGTATAGAGACAGATTAAGGTATCTGAATTTGCACTCCCGCGAAAGATGTGAAGTGAGGAGTGATATGATGGAAGTGTATGGATGTAGGTCTGGGTTAAACAACGGCTATATAACAAAGGTACTTAAATTTAATTATTTAACAAAGAGCGAACTTGTAACAATGGTTGAAAAAAAAAAGATTTAGGCGCGAGATAAGTAAACATCGGTTTGGAAATAGACTAGTGGATGAGTGGACCAACTTACCGAACATAATTTTTAACTCGAACACGCTGGGGAGCTTCAAATCTAGGTTGGACGAGTGTAGAACAGAAGCCCCTAGGATGAGACCCCTAGGATAAAACCTCTGGGCAAAAGCCCCTAGAGCAAAAGCCACTTGGACAAAAGCCCCTAGAACCAAAAGGCCCCCTAGGACAAAATCCCACTGATAAAATTACCCTAGGACAAAAGTCCCTAGGACAAAAGCCCCTAGGACAAAAGCCCCTTTAGACAAAAAGCCCCGTAGGACAAATAATACTAATAAATATTGTAATTATTATTTTTGTTCTTTCTTACGGTAATCCTGGTGGAGATGGCTAATACCAGAAGGCGTTGTTCAATTTCGTTAATTTTTCCGAAGAAATTTCATTTTTATAGTAAGTATTTTAAGAGATGCAACATTTGCTAGAGCCTAATAGATCCTGAGCCAATCAACCAAAGAAACCTACCTAACTTCCTAGCCAGGGGTTCTGCCCCCGGGGCCCTGGTCATATTAAACACAAAATACTTATTTTGATATCTGGTACCAATTCAAGCAACTATGTTGAAGGGTCATGGTGTAATTTCATGTTTTCTGTAAAATGCTGTTTACTATCTCTTCCACTATTACCTTTATTAGGTACAGTTTATGAACAATTCTCTGACATTTAAAATACTACATTTATTATATCATAAGACTGCAATACCTAACCTAGCCTAACCTAATCTAATCTAACCTAACCTAACCTAACCTATTTTGCACTTTAACTGAGGGGCTTTTGTCCTACTTTGCACTTCAATTGAATGGTTTTCTCCAGGGGCTTTTATCCAGGTGCTTTTGTTCTAGGGGGCTTATATCCGGATCCCTGGATATGGGCCAATAGGCCCGCTGTAGTTTCCTCCATTCTTATGTTCTTATATTCTTGTTGTGATACGTTTATTTTAGGATTTTGTGAGTTAACATCAGTCGAAATGGTAGATGTGAAAAATAAATTATATGAGCAACTGTGGGAATAATGAATATATAACAAATAACTTGTTGACCAAAAGAGGCGTCGACTGGTATGTTGTTATAATGGAGGTGGCTAGCATAAAGTTGGTTTCAACTGTAACAAAGTGCAGCGTACAGATTTTCATCACTGGCACTGATAAGTCCAGTCCTTGGAGCTAGTTTGGCCAAGGGTCCCATGGCTATGACCAGCCCTGGGTGAGATGGCCAGCCAAGCTTCTAGTGACTGTAATACTGGGTCAGCAATGGTATAAAGGGGGGGGGGGTCAGTGCCTTCAGATATTTAACCATATATTTAGTAAGAGTGTGCGATCAGACTTCATACAGAGAAGTCGTGCCATCACTGACCCTGAGCTCTTTAATATCAGTTGTGAGACTTGTGGACTCTGGCGTATTAACCCTTATAATTTTTTGAGTGGATTGACCTTGTGAATAAAAATAACACCAAGTGACTTTATACACAGTGAAAATAAAGAAAAAAAATAGTTATTTCCCCATACTCACTAACATAGTTGGTGAGTTAGCGAAGGTGGCAGCAGATTAATCGTTGATTGATAATTAAAAGTATATAACCTCCCGATTGGGTTTGTATGTGATTAACTATAGATCAACAAATAATATTACAAAAACCAAACACAATAGAACAAGCAAAAGAAGAGCATTTTGTAATCTTGGGGGTTTTGTTAAAAAAAATTTACCTGCTGCTGTTTTGATTTTAGGTGTATTATTATTATTATTAATGATTATTAATAATAATAATAATAATAATAATAATAATAATAATAATAATAATAATAATAATAATAATTATATTTATTATTATTATTATTATTATTATTATTATTATTATTATTATTATTATTATTATTATTATTATTATTGTTATTATTATTATTACTATTATTATTATTATTATTATTATTATTATTATTATTATTATTATTATTATTATTATTATTATTATTATTATTATTATTATTATTATTAATGATTAATAATAATAATAATAATAATAATAATTATTATTATCATAATTATTATTATTATTATTATTATTATTATTATTATTATTATTATTATTATTGTTATTATTATTATTATTATTATTAATGATTATTAATAATAATTATTATTATTATTATTATTATTATCTATTATTATTATTATTATTATTATTATTATTATTATTATTATTATTATTATTATTATTATTATTATTATTATTATTATTATTATTATTAATGATAATAATAATAATAATTATTATTATCATAATTATTATTATTATTATTATTATTATTATTATTATTATTATTATTATTATTATTATTATTATTATTATTAATGATTATTAATAATAATTATTTATTTATTATTATTATTATCATTAATGTTATTATTAATTATTATTATATTATTATTATTATTATTATTATTATTATTATTATTATTATTATTATTATTATTATTATTATTATTAATGATTATTAATAATAATTATTATTATTATTATCATTAATTATTATTATTATTATTATTATTATTATTATTATTATTATTATTATTATTATTATTATTATCATTAAATATTATTATTATTAATATTATTATTAATATTATTAATATTATTATTATTATTATTATTATTATTATTATTATTATTATTATTATTATTATTATTATTATAATTATTATTATTATTAATGATTATTAATAATAATTATTATTATTATTATTATCATTAATTATTATTATTATTTATATTATTATTATTATTATTATTATTATTATTATTATTATTATTATTATTATTATTATTATTATTATTATTATTAATTATTATTATTATTATTATTATTATTATTATTATTATTATTATTATTATTATTATTATTATTGTTATTATTATTATTATTATTATTACTATAATTATTGCTATATTTTATAATTTTCGTCATTATTACCCTAACCCCTATCCCCTTCACATCATTTTCATCACTGTTTCAGAACTACCCTGTAAAGCTATTCACCTACATCACATACAATACCTGTAAGACCAGAGAATCTTTCGTTCCAGTCCTTATGGGTAAAGGGGATATATTTTTATTTTGTGTTGCTCTCACATTGTACAATGTCCTTCTCTTCTCAGTGGGTCCCCTATACCAAGATCAATATGAAGGAAAATGGAGAAATCGAGGTAGCAGGACCTATGGGCAACTTGCTTGAAATATTTGCAAAGTTGCTTGATTTTGAGTAAGTATCCTTGTTGTGGTTTATTTCTTATTTGGTACATTTTTATAATCGTGTTCGTTGAAGAGTTTTTAGCTATGATCGTGGCTGTTTGACTTTTTTGGCTCTTTTTTGGAAACATAATTGTGTGAACGTAATAAATTGTGTATATAGGCGCCTCTGGAAAGGTATTTTTTATTTTGTTAATGTGTGGATGTTTGTTTTAATAATAATAATAATAATAATAATTAACGGTTTATTGAAAGAGCTTGGCAGCCAAAAGGCTGAAAATATACAGTTACATATTTGGGGAATGGGTTTCGAATTACAAATAATATACAAGTAACATAAGTGACACAAATAAGACATATAATAACTAGATGGGGAAAAGCTCAAACTACAGTTCATTTCAACATAGTGACAGTGCAAGGAGTAGTGTTTACTGGGAGTGAATACACTGTTTATTACAAGTTATTGATAATTTTTACAATGGTTGGGACTGGGCTGTTCTTATAGCGATCAGTTCTTGCACGTATGGGCTGGATGCGGTTGTGGTGTCGAACAGCAATTCTCGGACTAGGGATCTCAGGTGGTAGTAGGAGCCGGTGTCGAGGATGGTGTAGAAGCTTCTTACCAAATTTGCAGATGAGGTCGTGGTGATGGTCAGTGAGAGTCGAAAGGGTCAGTGTGTTGAGCGCTTCTTGATATGTGGAGTAGGAAGGGGAGAGAATAATCTTGCATGCCCTCTTTTGCACTTTTTCTAGGTGTTTACGTTGTGTGGCATTTAGGGAGGAAGACCAGGTGGGGGAGGCAAAGGTGAGCTTGGGAAGTATGAATGTTGTGTAAACAATGAGGAGCTCGGGTGCAGGAACTCCGAGGGACTTGAGTCGGCGGAGGAGGTGGAGACGGAAACTGGAGGATTTGACAACTTCACTGACGTGTGGTTTCCAATTTAGTTTGTTGTCTATGGTGACGCCGAGGAGCTTCGTGGAATCTACAACCTGGAGTGTGTTCGGACCTAGAGTAATGGAAGGAGGTGGGACAATGTAGGAGGGGAGGTTGATGTGCATAACCATGGCCTTGGTATGGTTGATGGTGACATGGTTGTTGGTGGCCCAGTTTTGGAGACTGTTCAATAAATCCTGAAGGGCGGTATAGTTGGGAGCAGAATTGTTGACGCTGATCCCATATATGTGTGTTTGTTTGCACACACACACACACACACACACACACACACACACATATATATCTTGATAAAATCACACGGGAAAATGGAAACACGGAGCACCTTAGCTTTCGTCTTTATTCAAGACATCTTCAGAGGCAAGATTTATCTTATCCACGTTTTCATTGTGGATTTACATGACACACACACACACATATATATATATATATATATATATATATATATATATATATATATATATATATATATATATGACTGTGTTGCTTTCTGTTTGTGATTGTGTGAAGAAATATCCTATGTATTTGACATAGAATGGATTAAGAGACCGTTAGTGGGAAAAGTAAAAAAACAATATCACAGATAATAAGCAACACCTTCACGCACAGTAAACAAACATTCCTTTAGCTTATAATTCCGAATCTTAACGTAAGACAATAACACTATCCAACGAGAATATGAGCACTGCCTTATGGGAATCTATGAATTTGAATGTCTGTGAGTCTGTGACTCTGTGGGTCGATGAGTCTGTGGGGCTATGAATCTTTGAGTTTCGAAGCCCGTTGGTCTGTATATAATCACAAATCAGATGAACATGAAATTTGATAGAATAATTTTTAAGGAAATAATTTACCTACCTAAAATGTCTATGACCTTATTCACCTTAGAGTGACCAGGACCATGTTTGACCTTCAAAAGTGGCCACGACCCTATTCGACCTTCATAGAATAACCAAGTCTTTGTTGACCTGCCTATGCTCTCAAATGACCATGTTATCCTATCTAGTGACAATGACTTTATTGACCTACCTGGACTGATTATGACCATGTTTGGCCTACAAGAGTGACAATACCTAGAGAATATGACATACCCTGTCTGATTCCTGTAGAGTGAACATGACCTTGTTTGACCTACATAGAATGACCATGTTGACCTACTTGGAGTCACCAGAAAAAGGAAAGAATCACTCATGTTGATATATAAAAACTACCTGTTTTCAGTGTTGTTTGTTCCTTCATCAGGTACCAACTACTACCAGCCCCCGCCAATCTGTGGGGTATACCACTGCCTAATGGTTCGTGGACGGGCATGATGGGTCTTTTACAACAAGAGGTGGGTGATGCTGCACATACACACCCACACACATCAGCCAGCTCTTAGCGAGACAAGACGTGTTATGTAGGCGCTTCTGATTGGCAGCCAGGCCAAGTCTGTTTTCCCTGCCCCCCCCCCCCTCCTGCTATATCCCACCTCCCTATCAACCTCAATACACCGGGATTTATCAGTAAAACATTCAAGTGATCAGTGCATTGATTGGTTACCAAACAGTGATCCGATAGTGTATTCCAAGGAAAAGCACAAAAACAAGCATAATTCACAGCACTGTATTACCAGACCGTGGGCACTTTGTCTGACACCTTCAAAGTGCCAGTTTACATATACCGTGGGTACTATGTCGGCAACCCCTTAATTGCCGGAGAAAAGGACAGATGTCTACCAGTATCAGCGTGCCCTCAAAGTGCCATATTGAGTTTATGGCCACAGCGGAAAAACACTTTTGTCCGTCCACAACAACAGATATTAGCACCTTATTCTCCTCTAACTCCACCTTAGACGATTCCAACTCTATCCCTCCTGCTCCTGCTCTTCCTACTGAACCTATGCACTTTCCTATAATCTCCACTCGTAGGGTTGCTGGTGTGTTATCCAGGTTGGATGTTAGTAAGGCGCATGGACCGGACGGAATACGCCCTCGTGTTCCTATGATTGCTCGCCTCTTTGGCCTTTGCCTTAAAGCCCAAACTTTTCCTTCTTCTTGGAAGCATGCCTTGGTTTAGCCCATCCCGAAGAAGGGTGACTCTTTCAATTCCTCTAACTCTCGCCCCATTGCCCTAACTTCATCCTCTCTAAGATTTTCGAAACTATCTTGAACTCTCCTTTTCTCCATCACCTTGAACGCCATTCTCTTTTGTCGGATCACCAGCATGGCTTTCGCCAGGCGAGATCTACTGGTAATCTGCTCCCATATTTAGTCATCCTCTCTTAGGGATTATGGGGAAACTTTCGTCGTGGCGCTCGACATATCAAATGCATTTGGCAGGGTTTGACACAAGTCTTTGCTTTCTAAACTTACCTTTTATGGTTTCGCTCCCCCACTTTGTTCTCTAATTTCTAATTTCCTTGAGAACCGATCCATGGCAGTTGTTGTCGAGGGATCGATCTCGCTCTTTCTCTACCATAGTGGTTTCCCACAGGGTTCTGTTCTTTCACCTATTCTCTTCCTTCTTTTTATCAATGATTTACTTCACACTACGACTAATTCTATCCATTCTTACGCTGATGATTCTGCTCTTCACTATTCTTCACATTTTCCCCTTCCTCCTAATTCTCAAACTAGATCTGATTCTAGAGCTGATATCATTACATCTATCAATACGGATCTGTACAGCATCTCCGAATGGGGAGGTAGAAACTTGGTTAAATTCAATAGTAATAGAACACAGTATTTACCAATTACACTTTCTAAATTAGATGATCTCTCACCAATCACATTTCAGGATTCAATCATTCTGCCAAATTCTAAAATAGATATGCTATACCTTACCATTTCCTCAAATATGTTATGGAAGCCACACATCCTCAACATTGCTCAGGCTGCCTCCCGAAAGCTGGGAATGCTGTACAGATACCGTAGGTACTTCACTGCTGAGAAGTTGCTTCAAGTATATAAGGGATTCATTCGTCCTAACTTGGAATACTGCTCTCATATCTGGGGTGGCTCTTCTGTCCAACTGTTAGATAGGGTAGAATCAAAGGCATTTCGTCTTATTAACTGTCCTCCTTTAGTTGATAATATTTCTTCCCTTTCTCTTCGCCGCAATGATGCTTCACTCTCTCTCTCTCTTTTACATGTATTTTAACGGGCAATGTTGCTTCACTCTCTCTCTCTTTTACAGGTATTTTAACGGGCAATGTTCGGTGAATTTGGCATGTGTGTACCGCCGGTAAGGCCGTGGTGCCCACCATTTCACTGTGGATCTTGGTCATTCGAGAGTAACCCGTTATAGTACATCCTTCTTTCTTCAAACAGCTAAACTGTGGAATGCTCTGCCTTCTCCTGTGTTTCCATACTCATACAATCTGACTCGCTTCAAAAAGCTGGTTTCCGGCATCTTCGTGGTGTACGTTAATCTTTTTGTTTTCTATTTTTAATCTATTTTTTCTCATACTTTTTCCGCCCCCTAGGCTTCGTTGTGGGTCGATGACCTGTGCCCGGATGGGCTATTCCCCGTAAAAAAAAAAAAAAAAATCTTGTACTCCGTACGTGCCCTGTATAATCTAAAACATGGCAATGGTTATCCTGATAGCAGGGTTATCGCACGACTAAAATCACTGGACATATTCCATGCTCGCAGGCTTAGACAAGAATGTCATAAACAAAAGCCCATTAGGACCACAACCTCCACTATAAAACTAGAGAAACCTATTCATGACAGACCATATCTATGCACCGAAGTTCCCCGAATATGATACGGTCTCCTCTCCTTACTGCTTTCCAACGTCACTTCCTTAGCTAACAAATTTTACGAACTGGCAACAACAGTCCGATCAGCCACTGACAACATCGTTGCCATATGCGAAGCTTCGCAAATTGTTCCTGAAACGTGTCACATTGAGGGATATCAACTCTTTCATCACCTTCGTTCACATGGACGCGGAGAGGCGTTGCCCTCTTCTCTTAAGGTGAACTATGCCCGTCACGCCTGGATGTTTTAATCCCAGATGATGTGGAAACATTATGGGTATGTGTGGTGCCACGTGCCCACCCGCGCAACACTGCTCACATCACTGACCTAGAGTGCTACTTTCAATCATCTCATCACCACCTCAGAGTTAGGTACCCATGTGCCAAGCAAGTACTATGTGGGGATTACAACGAAATTGACACCACTGATATCCAGGACCAGCTGCTACTATCACAAATTGTGAACTAACCCCACAAACGGTCAAAACACCCTTGACCTTATCTTAACTGACTTAGGAGACCAATACCAACCACCTCAGCCAATGCCTCCTATCGGGTGTAGCAGACACCTATCAGTGTTCTGGTCTCCAATTCACACTACCAGCCAAGTGCAGAGACCTTACATCAAGACCTAAAGGCCGATTACCGACTCTGCAGTGCGTCTCTTCGGGCAGTGGATAGTTCACCATCCCTGGACTGAAGTACTTAGTGTGGATGACGTGGACACCAAATGGATAAATTATACCAACACCACCACCACCACGGAAGCCCAACACCACTTTTTCCCTGAAAAGTTCGTCAGATCACACCCAACTGACTTGCCCTGGATCACACCTAGGATCAAAAGACTTATGTAATAGAGAAACAGCGTATTTTATCTCAATGACCACAGCCGCTAAAGGTCCCTTTGCAACCAAGTCATCCGCGAAATACGCACTGCAAAGAAGTCCCAATATCCAACCAAGTTGCAACACCTGAAGCAGACCAACATCATTCAGTGGTATGGTAAGCTTAAAGAACTCGGTGGACTAATTAAAAGGCCCCTCCCCTCCCCTTCCTTAGCCATCTCACTAATGGTGACGCAGCTGAACAATCAAACAACCATTTCGCAGCTATATGCTAAACGCTCCCCCGGCTTGACACAATCAGTCCCTCTGATTACCTAACAACCCCCTTTCCTACTGACTTAGTGGAAGAATTTGAAGTAGCAAAGCGGCTGGAGAAATTGAAGTTAAAGCGCTCCACCACAACCATTGACTTACCAATGAAACTCTACAAGGAGTTCTCCCCGGAACTAGCTAAACCCTCAGCCAAGACAGATGCCCAGCTGACTGAAAGACCTCATATATGTCACCAATGCCCAAGTCAACAAGCCTACAATCCTTAAATGAGTTCCGACCCATTGCCATCATCCCAATACCCAGTTTAATATGTGAAAGTTTCCTGTTTGACTGGGCTTATGAGGATATTGCAGGCGCCATAGAATCCACCACTCACTGTCTTGTCAGCTTTCTCGACTACATATACCGCCATCTGGAAAAAAGGAAAGACGTCTGTGACTGTCGGCTTCATTGACTTCACCAAAGCAGTTGACCTCGTAGAGCACAACTTAATCATCAACAAAGCTATCGACCTCGGGTTTCGAAGAAATTTTATAACAAGGCTTGCAGACTTTCTTAATGACCGACGCCAAGCCTTACGCTGCCGTGGGGCTGTCTCCACTTTTCAGTCACTCACCTATGGCGCCCCCCAAGGCACCAAGATGGGACCGCTCTGCTTCCTTATACTTATCAATGATGCTCTAAAAGAAACCTCTGCTCGCTGGAAATATGTCGACGACTCCACCATTGGGATCAGTGTCAATAACTCGGCTCCCCAGTACACCACACTCCAGGATTTATTGAACAGTCTCCAAAATTTGGATACCAACAACCAGGTCACCATCAACCGTACCAAGACCATGGTTATGCACGTCAACCTCTCCTCCAACGCTGTCCCACCTCCCTCCATTACTTTCGGCCCCAACACACTCCAGGTTGTAGACTCTACTAAGTTCTTCGGCGTCACTATAGATAAAAAACTAAATTGGAAAACACAGGTCAGTAAAGATGTCATATCCTCCAGTTTTCTTCTCCACCTTCCCCGCCGACTCAAGTCCCTCGGAGTTCCTGCGCCCGAGCTCCTGAGTGTTTACTCAACATTCATACTTACCAAGCTTACCTATTCCTCCCCTGCCTGGTGCTCTTCCCGAAATGCCACACAACGTAAACACCTAGAAAAAGTGCAAAAGAGGGCATGCAAGATTATTCTCTCCTCTTCCTACTCCACATTTCAATAAGCGCTCAACACACTGACCCTACCGGCTCTCTCTAACCATCACCACGACCTCATCTACAAATTTGGTGAGAAGCTTCTGCGCCATCCTTGACAACGGCTCTTACTTCCAACCGAGATCCCTCGTCCGCGAATTGGTGTTCGAAACCACAACCGCATCCACCCCATATGAGTACGTACTGATGCTATAAGAGCAGCCCTGTCCCAACCATTGTAAAAATTATCAATAACTCGTAATCAACCAG